ACTGAAGTATGGACACCTTAAAATAATAAATAAATAAGTATATTTAAATTTTATTTTGTTCTCTTGACCACCAATTTTCTCCTGGTAGGAAAAAAGACTGCTACCTATTTTCCATAAAAAACCTTTGTAGCAGTCCCAGTGGAAAAGTCAAAAGTTTGACTTGAAAAACGGAGCTACTTCAAAAGCATTGTCAAACAGAGGTGAAGGTTTCTTAAAAATGCATAAATTAAGGAATAGTGTATTCATAAATATCTCTGTAACTTTACACAGTGTATTTGTGATGTAGGTTCACGTATATAGGTGAACAGATAGCGTCGTTATAAAACTAACCAATAAAATAGAAAATCAATTTGTTTATTAGTTACTGTTTGGGCTCCGTGTATGTGTGTGTGTGTGTGTGGAAAAAAAATGAAAGAAAAATGGAGAGTTTTTTTCAATAATAAAAAGGGAGTTGCACTGCAGGGCCCCTAAAGCTTGTGAAAAATTAAACTCGACGGATTCAAACTGTCCTATTTCCACTTCAAAAGAGAAGAGGCACTGAGCTCTTCCCAACTTATCTTCAAACGCCCAGCACCCTAGAAAGTTTCTTTAAAAAAAATAAAGTCTCCAGTTCCCCCAAGCACTGTACCCGTTACTGTAGCTGCTGTCTCTCCCTCTTCTAATTATACCCATGTGAGTCTATTAATCAACTTGTAAATTATTTAGAGAGCCATGCGCTGTCTTCAGCTAGTACAAACACACTGCATGCAAAGACTTGCTGAAAACCAATGGAGCTCCCAAAGGGTCTCTCTCCGATGTTCAGACAGCTTGCAGCTCGCCAGTACAGCGCTCTTAAAAACAAGAAATAACACTAAGCTTACCTCCTCAGATGGAAAGGTTTACCCAGCCTTTCAACTCGGCAACTCTTTGCAAGTTTTTAACAAAGAGGAAGGGACTCTATTGTCAAACCTTTACTTCACACTTAGGGATGAGAATATTAATTTGATGTCAAAAATAAAATAAAATAATAAAAAAAAAAAAGCACACAAGTGCTGCAGGGAGGCTGTGATCACAATTGCCCAGGGAGCCCGACTTTCAGAGGCGGCACCAAAATGCACCCCTTTAAAAGCATTTCAATTTAAAATAAGGGGGATATCTACATTTGTTCAGTAATAGTTTTTAGGAGAAAATGGAAGAAATTAGGGAATTCCAGATTTTACCGCCCACACACAGAATGCCTTTGGGGACAGCTTCAGATATTACTACTTAAAAAATAGAAAAAGGAAGGGGGAAAAAAAAAGTCAGGACAGATTGTGTGTATTCAGCTCTAACAGACTGTGAACAGTGGGATGTTACCTCTCTTCTGTGAATCTCTTTACCACCTGAATCTTCATTTTGGTGGAAAAAAACGATTACCCAAACTAATAGCAGCTCTCCCTGCTGAAAAGCGGAATCTTCCTGTTTGGGTAAGACAACATACCCACTTTCATGCTGGTTTTCTGTCCTCTCATTTTTCTTGGCTCCATTACTGCAGCTTTGTAAAAAAGGTATATAAATTAATATTAATCCTCTCGTGCTACTTCACCATGAAGGCCTGGAAAATTCCACAGAATGACATGCAGATTTCTTTTCACGTGGCTGATAATCTGTCCTTGTCATGTGATGACTCCAGAGCTAAAATGACCCTAGGGCCAAAATGCTGCCACTTGTGTTTTCATTAATAAAACAGAAACATCTCACGGGGTAAATGGCAGGGACTTAGAAACAAATAAACAAAGAAAAAAAATGCTTCTTGCAGTTTATAATCTCCTGGGGTAACTAATTCTAATGGACATCTTTCCATCGGTGGTGATGGATATTGCAGATGCAGCATTGAATTAACATGGCCCTGTGATCTCAATGACAGAATTACCTCAGAATTACCTGGATTTAGGGGCACAAACTCGACAGAAAAGTTCTCATCAATTCGACGGATCTGAGGCTGCCCATGTGTGTATCACTGTCCATATCCTTAAATACTAGCAAAGGAGGACCGGTCTATAGAACAGCCTCTTAACAGCATTTCAGAAGGAATGAAGTTCAATGAATCGATTTGCATCACATCTCTTGGGGCCTGACAGTTTTTGGCTACTAATCTAGCTCCTTGCTCCAAACAGGAATACTTTCAGGCTGCCCTTGCAAACAGAACGTGATAAATCTGTCCACGGCATTAGCACTACTGAACAAGAGACAGAATGAGAGTGGAAATCAGAGTTGAACTTGGTAAATTGGAACCAAACTTCATTTTTTTTGCAGAGTAAATTCAGCAGTAACTGCCCCATACTCATTGGAAGCCACAGCATCCTCAAGGAAAAGTAATTTCATTGCCAAAAGACAACCTCTGCATTCTCAGTGCTCGCAGAAAGCAGTCACATAGTTGAACTTTTCACTGAAAGTATATTTTAAATATATACTTAAATATACCAACTGTAGAATAGGATGGCCTCGGAATTTAAAAATTAATGGGCTCAAGGCCATCCACACTGCTTTCATTAAGCAAAATGAATCGCCCATACGCAAAATGGAGGATCTTGATAACGCAAGTGCTAGGATCTTCAGGAGACAGGGATCACCAGGAAACAGGAATGCTCTGAGTTTCCTTCTGTGGTGAAGAATGGAACTGGCAGGGCTCTTCTTGAGATGTAGCATATATAAAAAAGCGACACAGGAGAAAACGAAAAAAAAAAAAAAGACTGTTTGTGAATCCTAAAAATCTAGAAATCTGAGTAAGTCAACCAGAACTAAACCAGATAGGGGACGGCTGCAATAAGTCAATAAAAAATTAGCTCTGACTAAGCTCCTTTTTCTGCCTTTTTATGACACCACAACATATAACACTGGCATATCCTAAGTGACTTTAACTATATGCAATCAGTTGTGCCCACAGGAAGGGAAACCATACCGAGATCAGTCCCCAAGGCAATCCTTTTAAGAATATATGAGGCATCCCTCAAGCTTTTGTGACACTAGTTTGATTTTGACTGGTGGTAATTTGGTTAATGTTTCTCATGGTCTGTCCTTGGTACCAGGATATCGCACTGTGATGATATCACCTGCACAATTCCTTGCCCAGAGGAAGGACTGAGCTTGCTTGGGATACAACCAGAAATGCAATGAAATTTTTCATTGAATTGTAACTGCTTTTCCAGTTATAAACACTGTAACTGGCTAAATTAGCTCCATTCAAGTGTGATTTTCTTGAGATACTGGATGCAGTCAATAATAGTGCAAGAATCTCCTAATATAATCTCTAATAACGCAATCTCTGCTTTAATCTTGTTGTGATTGTACCAAGACAGCAAAACTCTTTGCCCATCTTTCCTCCTCACTACGCTACGTTCTTTCATTTTCTCCAAGGCTTTTTGTGAGGGCAGTAATGAATTCTTGTTAGTGTTTACTAATGTAAATTCATTCTTTGTTATCCCTGTGAGAGGGGGATTAGCAAAATGACAGAACTTATTATTTCTGGTATTGCTATATAATATTTATTTTTATTCAGCCCTTAATTTTGTAGCAAGTCCCACCAAATAAAATATATGTGCATATAAACAAAAACGAAGAGAATTTTTTTCAGCACAATGCACAGAAATATAGTTATGACTCCCATTAATATTCAGATGCACTGTTCAGCTTCATTCCTGCATGTTATATTAAAAAAAAAAATCTAAATTTGAAATAATTTCTAATTTGGGGAAGAAAAGAATTACTTCTCTGATTCCATTTTCCTGAAGTGAAAATAGCTCCTTTGGCCTAAGGATAAGTATATTTTTAGGACTGGATAAACATTAGAGTCTGTGAAATTATTTCACCCTACTGGGAATGCTTCCAGTACCTCGTGTAAGGAACCTTAATAGCTAAAGTGAGACTTGTAAAATACACACAGAGCACATGAGCTCCTAAAGGACTTACCTTTGAAAACTGTAAATCATCCAAAACTCCCATCCCAGCTGAAATTGCAGTCAGGAGAGGGAGGTATTTACAGCGACTGTCCTCTGCCACATTCAGGTCAAGCAGACTTCACATATTCCAAAGTTATTCCCATATATAAAAGCCTGGCATATATTGTGACTAATATATACTCAGATCTCCTGCCTGTACTTAGTTGCTACCACAATCTCTATATTAAATCTTCCTGGAAGCCTCTCCTAAAACCAGCAGCTCAGAGCCAGGAAACCACGAGCGAATGCAGCCTATAGGTGCTCAGGGTCCAGCACCCCTTGTTCTCTGTGCCCTTTGGTGTGTCCAATTTGGCAAAATAAACATTATTCCACCCTACTGAAAGACAACTTATCTTGCAGAACTTTTTTTTTTTGCTATTTAATATCTACCACATAGAGAGAGTCATCCTTGTTCAAGACAACTAACAAACATGTAAGTTTAAATTGATGCCCTGAGGAGCTTACAGTATTTATGATTCATCTGAAATGTCTGGAGAGGCTTTCAAAAGCAACATATGCTCAGGTATTCTTTGTGGCAGTCCCCTCCAACCACCAAAAATGCTGATGGAAACAAAGCAATCAGAAACTTTAAGTCAAAAAGCTTATATGAAAGTTGATTAATCTACAGTAGCATTTTGTAAGTTAAAATTTACATACAAAGGCAGTCAGCCTTTATTATAGCCCACTTGAAATTAAAATCAAAATAAAGCATGACATTGTACTTTAAAAAGCAATTTATACATTTTTAAAGTATACATTTTGCAGAATTCTGGTTTTGATATACAGATGAAAAAGCTTGGAATTTAGACTTTGGGATGTAGGGAAAAAATGCTGTATTTCATTTAACAGAGAGCTCTTTGTTATGAAGAAATCAGAGAGCTAAAAACATCTAACTTCAGTTACCCCTAAAATAATGGAATTCATCAGCTTTCTGACTATTGTAAGGTAACTCGAATAGGCTCCAACCAGGAAAATTTCATTCACAATGTATTTTTCTCGCACAACTCTAAAATTCTAGTGCAACGAAACATCAACATGCCCTACCTGGGCGGTCATCGTCAAAATAAGTCTTAACGAGTTCTCCAAGTTTTGTCTTCTCTGCAACAGCTTCCTTTAGCAGTTGCCCACAGCAAACTAAGAGGAAGGAAGAACAAAAAGACACAAGGTTAAATTTTAAAAAGGCAGCAAGAAAGAAAAGAAGAAAAAAAAACCCACACAACAGAAGCTGCATACTGAAATAAGGTCACTGAATAAAAGTTGTAGGTTTTGGGGTTTGTTGATGGCATTTTTTTTCCGGCCAAGCAGAGCAAAAAGCAAAGAGACTGAGCAGAGGAGAATACTGAATAAAAAAGAATACATTTGGCAAAGAACATATTAAAAACACAGAGAGAAAGAGACTAATCAAATATGTTACTGAAATAATAACTCAAGGGATTGCTAGTGGTTTTCACTTTTTATAAACTTTTAATTGCTGAATAAAGTTACACCTGCTGAACAGCATCTGAACTGCACTGCTGGAGGTGCAGAATAATACATGGTTCAAGGAAGTGGCTCCCTGGATCATTTAATGATCATGTAAGAATTATATTTAAAAAATTGTGCTAATGCAATATTATCGTTGACTTCAAATACACAGAACATCAGGAGATCTAGATTTAAGTTCCAGGCAGGACAGTTGTGCACCAACTAATGCCATTTTGGTATTGCATTGAACTTTTTGAATATACAAAGTTATGAAATATTACTGTCCATATGAGTTAGATACAATAGTATTCATCCTCATCTTACAAATAAAGAATTAAGACATGAAGGGGTTGCATAAGATCACAAGAGGCACCAAGAGTTGGCACAACATCATAAAGTCCTAATTCCAACTCAGTTTTGCTTTATATTTGATCACAATAACACTGCATGTTATTGCATGACATTTCAATTAATAACCACGAATTGATTTCACTCTTTCTGAAATGATCTGTTTTATCATTTGCAGCATGGAGGACTAAGAACACACTACTGGAACATTTCTTGACAACACTGAACAAGTTTAGTATTGTAGTGACAAGGAATGAACACAAATATTAATGGTTACTACTTTCCCCACAGAAGCAAATTCATCTTCCCAGAAAATGGTCCAAATATGCAACAGAAATACATAGATGCAGAAATGCATAGATCCCAACTTGGGACAACAAAAATGTATATGGCTTAAATTCAATGCAATTTGTGAAAATATTTAGATATAGGATTAAAATTTTAAGTTTGTTTCAATTTCAAAAGCCTAACCAGAAATTAAACGTATGCTGAAGTACTCTTCTGAAAAGGATGGTCTTCCAGCTCTATTTTAAATATTAATTCCTGTAATATTTGGTTTAGAGTATACTCACAATGAAAGTCAACATATGGATGAAGTAGTGATAATGGCATTTAGTAAAGACAGCAGCAGCTGTTTTATATAATAGTTGCTTAAAAAAATAAAATGCAAATTTTGACCTAGATGAAAATACTACCTCAAACTTAGCTTCAGAAATATAGTTCAGGAAAGGTATTCAGAAACACAAGAGCAAAGTAATCTTTAACACAGCTAACAGTTTTCTTTAACACGTTATAACAGACACATTTCATTTTTAATTATGCCAATTATATAATACGTAAAAATATGGCTTTGAAAAAATCTCTAAAAACCTTTAATTTTTAATGTGATGATAAAATATTGCAATATTAAAACATCTGATATCATAAAAGTTCTATCAGTTTTATTTGTAGTTTGCAGTATTTTAATATAGATTAAAATCATATAAATTTACCCTTTTCAAGTATACTGAATATTTTAGTCATTCGGTGTTTTTGAAGCATATGAATAATGATAAACACTTAAAAATACAACCCCCTGAATGACAGACAGTTTCAGAATTATTTCCATGCCTTTAGTGGCACTACAAAAACTAAATACGTAACTATTAAGTAGGAGTGATTGTATGGAAAGTATATACCCCTTTTTGAAGGCTTCGAGTTTGAACTTGAAATTTATTTCTTTTGGAGCACCCCTACTAAACATGTGACTGAAAACAATACAGCTCACAACTTGAAACTATTATTCACTTGAAAAGCCAAATCCAGGGTCAGTGAATTCTTCGGCTCCACTTCGCCAGCAGCTCGGGGAGGACACAGAAGGACTGGCTGCATCACTATGGATGGAATTAGTTCCACTGATTAAAGAAAACTCCCAACACTAAGGAGGACTATCTCCTTAATTCTTATTTTTGTCATTTGATAAGCTGTGGAAGAATACTAATGAAATTAACTCATATTTTACTTAAGGAAGACAATGATGTGGCTTTGTCATTTGATAGAAAGCAGACATATACTTAAAATAATTTATGGCTACTCCACTATTACAAGACATTACGGAACACAGACACAAACTGCATTGATCCCAGCACCCTCCTGCGTGTTAATATTATAGTGCTTTAATATCAGCATGTACCACCATGATCAAGCCTCATCTAGCATTTTCTAGGCCTCCCTTAGGAAAAAAATTAGAATGTACATTTTGATAATTGCTTCCTTTTCCAATACATTGACTTAAAAACATGGAATCTAAGAGGCTTCCTCATAGTTCGGAGCAAAAAAAAAAAAAAGAATTTTTTATTTTCTGTACTTTTTTAAAAGAAAAATTTTGGTGAGACAGATGAAGCTCTGAAGACATTATTTGCCATCCACTGATACAATGAAGAATTCAGAGCATAAGAATGTAACACATGAAAAACTACTGATCTACAGTGTATAAAAACTGAGGACTAAAAAAAAAAAATGTTAAAGCTGGTTTGTCACTGAATATATGTTTTATTGGTTTATATTTCTTCATTGAAATGCTTTTCAGACCCCTCAAAAATTTGACATCCACAATGATGGTCTAACAGAGAAATTTTACACGCAAGAGAGAAAGACAGCAAAAGATAAATGATCAAAAAGAAAGAAAAGGGGGAATTGAGCAAAGTGCATATTTGCTGAGAACTTACTGTTGACAATGCCGTATTTCTCAGCTATTAGTGCTGCCTGCAGGCGCTTCCCACTTCCTGGGGGTCCACAAAAGAGAATCCGTGGTGTGAAGGGGGCAGCCGATCGGTGCCGTGTTTGGACATAGGTGAGAGCTAGAACATGGCAGGAAGACAGGACATGCAGTTTATAACACATTACTCTTTTTTTAAAAAAAAGAAAGAAACACATTGATTAACTTCTCCATCTTTAAAGGTTGTTCTTATGATCATAATTTTTTTTACCACTGGAATATCTTGAGACTCCAACCAAAATGAGGCCTGGGAGCACTGACTCAGGAGAATGGAGAACCTACCACGCAATGGGATTCTGCACAGCTCTTAGTCCAGCCCCACGAGCCGTGCTGGGATACTACACTGGACAAACAACTCTGACGTCCCTTATCCAAGCACAAATCAGTAATTTCATTAACATTTAAGAGATTTCAAACATTGTATTTGTACCAAACAATCCATTATCATCTTAATACAGATGCTCTCTTAATTGTTTTTAATCTCTTGTCTGTAGTAGTAAAAAGGCATTAATAAATTGAAAATCACAACAGTACAGTCTGCTGGCTGCATAACTTATCCAAAAGCAAGTTCCAGCTAACCAAGGAGTGCTCTAGTTATTCTGAATATTTTCCATAACCCAGTGTATTGAAAAGCACAAACATTACAGGCAAAGCACCCTGCTTACAAATGATGCTTAATTTGCAGTAAATAACCAAGTTAATGAGGAGTAATCATCCCCCCGACAGTCACTAGATCTAATTATTCGTCAAAAAAAAAAAAAAAAAAAAAAAAGCTGGCTGCTTGATGCACTGCAGAAAAAAGATCTAGAGAGGATTTTTTCATTCCAATTTTCAATTTATCTCACTACATTATTAATTAATAATAATTAATATTCAGGCACTCACATTTTTATTTACAATTCAAGGCATGAATTCTTTATGAATGATGATATGAACTTTTAAATTTAATTAAGTAATTTAGAGGTAATTAATGTGTAAATTCAGATTATAAACTTCCTACTTGTTTATCTTAAAAGTGCAGCACTTGTCATTAAAAAAAGACCATTTTGAGATGCAAAATTACTGAGATAGATCAGATCATCCACAGACTGACAGTTACAAAGCACATTATCAATTGGTCCTTCTGGCAGTTTATTTATTTTATTCTTGAAGAATCAACATTAAAAGTCAGATTGCATTAAAGACGAGCAAAGGCAAACAGGAACCGTTGAAAAGAGAAGCTACCAGCACACAGTTTTTATATAATGAAATGTTACCAGCTTTGAACTACTCCTACCACCTTATCATCAGACTTGTGGAAGGTACTAGCCATGTGGGGGATTAAGGCTAGAGCCACATGTGGGACTAGCCATGTGGGACAAAGACTTACTGCATTTAGTCTAGTCCTATAAAAGAATGACCAGAAAGAGCCCAGATTCTGTATTAGAAAGATCACAACTCAGCTGGGGGCCATGAGGCTTGACTAAGCCTATTCTTATGAATCATCTCTAAAGGTTAGGGACTACCTCTCAGATAAGAGTTAATCAACTATCAAATTTGCCATAAAGGTGCATATTTACCCTGTGATACAACATCCATGCAAGGCTGGTCTGCATTGATTGATTTCAGAATTTTTTGATAGGTCTGGAAGAGTCCAGGAAAGCTCCTGTGATACTCCAGCAGCTTCTTGGATATCTCTTGCTCAGATGTATCTTCTGGCTTCACCAAGCGCTGCTGCACCCAAGGGTCACGCGGCCAGTCGAAGGTCGTGTGGAACACCTCTAGAAGGTAGGCACTGATTAGGGACCAAGAGGATGAATTAAGGGGTCTTGTGCAGTTCCAAAGCTTTTCTAACCAATATCCTGTTTATGTTTAAACCTTATGTTGTGGCACAAGTGCTAATCTGTGCAGGCCCAATATCACGCTTTACATTTCCTTGCATTTTACACTCACATAAAATAAGATACTGCTGACATACACCTTCTCCAAGCAGTTCATAATCATAAATTCCTACTGTTTCTTGGAGAGGTACCATTTAGATGTTCATCCCACTGGTATTACAGTGTTTCTGGAATCAAGTAGCACTCCAGTTTCTGGCAGAGCTCAAGAACAAATGCATACTGCACCTTCTGTGACGGGATCGAGCCTCTTCCCACTGTTCCGCTCAATCAGGACAGTGTCTGGAGCGTAAAGCACAACTAGGCACCAAAAAGAAGGGAACAGAAAGTGTAGCTTTTGTTAGTTACTTGCTTTATTTCCTAACTGGTCTGATAAATCCTAATATTAAGGATGGATGAAAGTATTTCAAGTACATTTGTCTCCATTTGTCTTGTCTTAATTTCCCATTATTCTACCTGCAGATACTGGATTTCACTTTTAATCAGATATTTTCTCCCCTTGCTTAGCAGTATATTATTAATGAGTGTTTTCTCCCAATAAACAGTCCAGAATTTGTAAGTACTGTCTGTCCCAGTCACGCACTGGAACTAACAAGCTATGCTTATACTCTATCTGGATGGAGCCCAGGACAGAAGTCTAGGTTAGAAGCATCTAAGAGGTCACTCATTATTTTCTTCTATATCACAAGCCATTACTTCTCATCCAAATACTTCCGTAGTGAGACCAATAAACATATTTTTTGGTTAACTTCACAGAGAAGTGTCCATGCTGGACTAAAAAGCATCAAAAGATGGAGAATCTATCACTTCCCTGGATTGCTTGTTCTCTAATCATCCTTGCAATTAAATACAGTAAATTAATCTCTCTTTTCAATGTATTTGATTACAGACTTTATATACAGGTTCTTTTTATGACTTTCTCCACCATATCCAACAGCTCTTTCAGGCACTTTTCTCCCTATTAAGGTACTCATATACTGTAAATTATAACTCTTCTCAATCTTCTTTTTGATTAACTAGACAGACTGCACTTTAAGCTTCTTGTTCAGGTCTTGGTTGCAGAGATAAAATTGCGAGCAAAACTTGACTTCAGATGTTATTAGCTATATGAAAAATACATGCAAGTACTAGACATTAAACATTTTTTCCCTAACTCTATTGCAGTGATTCTGAATTCTTTATTAATAGTGGAATCCCATCCAAATCAAATCCAAAGTGACAATTCATCAAGTTCACTAACACTTTGGCAAGTTCATGATCCACTTGCAAGCTCTACCTTTATCATTTTTTATGCTGTATTCCACCCAACTGTAATTGTTTCTTCCGCTGCAAGTAGGTTTTTAACTATTAATTTGGGACAACTGGCTCTTCCAACTGGTGAGGGCAGTTGTCAAGGTCCTGTCTACCAGCACTGTGCCACTGAAGAAATGTTCCTCTCAAATTAAGCCACACTCCATGCATACTCAGGAAACTCAAGCTTAAAAATCAAGATGTTTCTATTTCACTTGGTGAAGAAATAGAAGCAAAATAGAAGTAAAGTGGGGATAAGAGGCAAAACTGTGTCTAATTGCTCAGAGACACTTGCTGGACTGGTCTTGAATTTGCAGAAGTCTGTGCAGGAAGGCAAGGGTTTATATGGAAAAGATAGGATTTAAAGTCTCACAGGTTAACTCAAGTTCTTCAGTGAATGTTAAACATACTGAAATATCATTTTACTGTCTACTGACTATGGTGTCTTAGAGACATGTATTGAAATTATTATTTAGGATGTCTGGGCTTTCACCTACTGGACACAATCACACATCAACCTTGTACTGCTTACCAACATGCACAGGAATGATGCCAGATGACTGCAGCATCCATGCCTGCTCCTGGTTTTCAGGGAAGCCTTCCAAAATCCAACCCTATTGAATAAAACCATGAAACAGTTGTTAATCTTGGAACAGGAAATACACAGGAAAAAAAAAAAAAAGAAGAAAGCAAACACAGAACATGAATATTTTTGTGAACTGGCACTAATAACATTACCGCAATATAAAGGACACTTATGTATTGTAGCAGTGATTTTTTTCCCTATATTTCAATCTTAAGCTTCTCTCTTAAATAAAAACAACGCAAAACAATTTCAGTTTTGAAATATTTAAAAGGATACCAGCCCACACTGTGTATATAAAAAAAAGAGGCTAAACAAATCTAAAGACAGATTTAATGCCAAGAACAGTGAAGAAAATATGCATGCTTTCATTATTTTCTTAAATTATACAGGAAAACTCACAGTAATGGAACCACCATTCCCAAAGCTAATGAAGCAACAGAGCAAAAGAAAGAAAAAAGAAAAAAGAAAAAAGAAAAAAGAAAAAAGAAAAAAGAAAAAAGAGCCTTTTGCTCCCTTAAGTCCTTGTTATAGCCAGCTAAGTGTTGGATTGAGCATCTTTAAAAAAACATTTACAGAGCTGTGAAATACCAGAGTGCTGCAGCCTCACTCGGTGTCCGTGTGATGCAGTATTTGAAATGTAATCCTCTTCCCACTCCCAAGTCTGAATTTTCTGAACTTTGCCTAATTTTCCTGTTAGTTGCTTAACTACACAGGCCCTTGTCACCATAGCCTAAATCCTAAAATAAGTTTGTGATACTATAATAAGTGTGAAAGGTCATCTTTGTATTTAGGAAAAAAGTTAAAAAAAAAAAAAGATATTTTAATATAGCATTAGCTAGTAATCATTATTATCTCCCATATAAATTAGATGCTCTGTCAGTATGGGGTCCAAAGGTTTTAGAAGTATTTCAGGGAAACATATCCCCATGACTTCTGTAGGAGGAAATTGGGACATTCCAATTATACAAGAAAATAGAGTAGACTACTTAAAATTCCTTAATTAGCCTGGTTTCAGGAACATGTCATCCTGCTGGTATCTGTAGAAAATAAGAGACTCGAGTAACTGCAAGACATTTTTGCCACTCCTGGTGTTTGCTTTATCAAATTAGGATGAACCACTGGCTAAGGTCACACAGGTGCTAAGAAATCAATTTATCCATTGGGACTTGCAGGAGAGAGGCAAGGCTGCACAATATTTTTAGCAGTGTGCTAGGAATTTCGAACCGGTTGTGAATATCTTGTATTTGTACAACATACACATAGATCTTCTTCTAGGGAGAAATGGCATGAGAGCCCTGAAGCCAACAGATCTTTGCCAATTTGCACAGACTACAAATCTGGCTCATTTTCCCCACTCCAAGCGCAATACTTTTGGAAACTAAAAATAAAGCCTTTTGCTTCTGGTGTAAATACACTTATAGCTCAGAAGCAAATACTAAGCAACAGGCAGCAAACACAGAAGATGCTCTTTAAACAACACATAGCAAACATCATAATGCTTATATACCAATTTCAAAGGTTCTCAGAGCAGGCCATATGCAATTTTAAAGCTAAAAGTTTTGGCACTGTAGGAAATCAGAGCTCAATAAATAGCTTCTTGCAACAAATAATTTTTAAACAAATACATAGTAAGTGATTGCTACAAAAATAGCTAGCGTTTTGGATCCTATATCCAAAGGTCTCCGAGTTGCAGGGTATCAGTCAATCCCTAATTAGAATACATTATCCATCTACTTGACAGTTCAGTGAAATGTCTATTCCAGCACAGAGCCGCAGCTTTGTTCAGAACAGGTTTATTGATATTCTGATGCATTCCCTCTCCATACCCCCAGTGGCTTGGTTCTGTTTTATCACACATCAAAAAGGCCGTATGCTCAGGGCACCCCATGCACGGCTCAGAGCTGGAGGTCTGAACAGCTGCAAGTAGTGTGGTATCACAGGAGGGACAAGCTCCAAGCAGATGTCACTGAGAGGGGGAAAAAAAAAAGGAAGGGAAAAAAAAATAGGAGAGCAGCTTGGGAACTAAGCAAGATGAAGCAAGACACAGCAGAGCAAGACCTGACTTAAAATATGCCTATCATGCTTTATGCAAACATTGCTCTTTTCTGCCCTCCTGGCTGTCATTAAAGTGTAATTAGTAACTTCACATGGTGAGAATTTGTTTCTTTTAGAAGATATCTCTTTTTTTGTTCTTGATAGCAGTAACCTTACATCCACGTGTGGATGGCACCTTATCACATCAAGGCCAGAATGAAGGCTAGAAGTCTGAAATTCTGCAGCGCCTTATTCCGCGGTCACTACTCCCTCTCTTTCAGCAGGAACCTCGGTCCATTCCCACATCACGACTGCTATAAATACAGTACTCTGCTCTTGCCTTAATGCCACGTGAAGTGCTCCTTGGAGACCCATGGCACACAAAATCAGCAACGGGAAGTACTTTCAAAGCCATCACTTTCCTCTCCAAATTTAAGGAACCTGAAGGAAAGGAAACCCTCCAGGTTGTTCCCAAACATAAATCCCCTTCCTTTGCGTGCCCGCTCTCAGCCCTAGCACCAAACCTATATTCTGCCAACTTTCCACCTCAACAAGAATGACTTGGATATTCAGCGCTCTTGTTATTTGACCTGCACAGCTGCAGGATTTGTTACAAAATCCCAAACTGACTCTGCCTTAGAACAATGCGGCTACACCGATGACACATTGCTGTCCTTGTAAGAGTCTCAGGGACAACACGATGATCCCTGTACAGACCCCAAAGCAACCAACAGCCACTGCATTCTTTGCCTTCCTGTTCAACGGCAGCCACCATTCTGACTTGTTTACTATCAATCAGAAGTAAATCTGCCCTTGAGTTCGACTGACTCATAGGCTTCATTTCCAAATCTCTCCAAAATGTGAATAAGGTTGCTCAGCTGTCCCCTCACAATTCACCATCTATCAATCTCTCCGCTTGCTCTCCCCAGCTCTATAAGTTCCCTCCACAACCGCAGCAGCACCAACAGCCAGATGAAAAGTCTTCCTGTGAGCTGCCCAAGTGCCAGGTTCTAACATAACGCTCCCAATAAGTTCTCTGCGGGTGCTGGAAGACCCACCTGTGTGATCCTGCAGGCCTAACTCCATTTGTATTAGAGGAACACACAGCACTGTCTCAGAAGGGCTGTTGATCAATAAAAATGCTGTCCTTGGAGGATGCCGGTGACATCCATAAACCTGAGAGTGTCAAAACAATGGCGCAAAAAATTCCATATTCCTCCTGTCACTGGGATGAAAGCTGTGCAATTAATGCCAAGCCAATGACACCACAAGGAGAAATAAAACGAACAGCTTGTGGTCCTACGGCCCAACAGACATCCTCATCTCTTTCCATTTTTGGCTAAAAATGCTGACTCATGATTTGAGTGAGATGGTATAAATCTGGGCAAGGAAGTAAAAAAAATCTGCAGGATTGAATTCATTAACACCCACAGTAGAAGGCTGTAATTAAAATGCATAGAGCCTCTTTCAAGTGCAGGTGATGCACGATGTGGGGTCATTTGAGTGGCCCTGAATTCTGTCTACTTTCAATAGGACTTTCAATAAACTATCACAACTTTGGGCAAGCTAATTATGCATTTTTCCTAAAAAGGAGCTGCAATCTTAACTACACTAATAATGCACACTCCAGACCTGCTCAACATCGGGGCAGTTTATTCTAAAGGAAGTTTTTATTTCTCCTACTGTTCTGTAACATGCACTGGTTCAGTGCTGCCGGTGGTAGTGGTAGGAACATAAAATGCAGGCAGCTGTTGTCATTTAAACTATCCTGTCACTTTATTTGGAGTTTATAGGACTTAAAAATACAGGCACTGAGAGATCCTTCACTCGCTGCTATAAGGAGAGCAAGAACTATGCCAACAGTTACAGAATAAATAGGGCAAAAAAAGCATTGGGTGGATGTAGCCTTTGGAGACTGGCAGACTTTGCCCACTGGTGGTCACTAAAACTTTAACAGTATCACAAAGAACACTGGAGAAAATAAAGAGCTGCTGAAAACACATTTGCTTTTAAGCAGAGGAAGTGGCTTACATGACAGTGAGCACCTTGGAAAGATCTTATAGCTCCTGCTATAAAAGCCCTGAAATGAAGGGTTATTCACCCATTCTGGATCATTGCAAGCGCTGCCACCAAAACAACTCTCCTCCTGATAGCACTAGAGGATAAACCCCACCCCGCACTACTGCTTTTAAGAGCTCACTTGAGAAAATACTTAACCAAAACTATTGATGACACCAGCCAAAAGTCTAAGAGTTAGCAGCTGCACTCTTGGGTTACCATCTTTCTTGCTTATTTTCATTTCTATGCATTTAAATATGTTTTAAACACTCCGACTTGAGAAGTTTGCTGTTCACATCCTGCATGACCATAGAGCAACCCAGCCTTTTATGACCTGGCAAGTGAACACACTTAGCTCGGTAGGTAGATCTAAGAACAGTTATTATATACCCAAAAAAGTTCTTCAGCTCTTCATGAATGTTACATCTTATTTGAACTATGCATTTTTCTCCTTCCAAGAAGTGCTTCAACTAATGTACAACCTACATCTTGGCACTGTTTAGGCAAACATTTTTATCCACTAGATTATTATGTCCCTTCTAAATAATCCATTATTATGGGCTGATTATAGACTCAATAAATCATAACAGCATTTGAGGTTTAAAGAAAACACATAAAAGAGCTTTTCATGCTTTCCATGAGTCTAGATATTCAAGCAGTATTAATCTATTTAAGTTCTCTTTTAGCTCTATTTGAAGAGCCTCTACTTATATTAAGTCTAAGTACAACAAAAAAATAACAACACAGATCCATGGATGCAGCAGCCAAAAACTATTCAGCTGTCTATTTTCGTAAGCTAACAGTGAGCATATTAATTACTACCTAGAATACATTCAAATTCCTAACACAGGGCAAAAAAAAAGGACACAATAAGAAAAAGAAAATTGAAATGCATAACATTAGACTTTCTTTTCTTGTTTCATCAGGAAGAACTAAAAACCCAACTCAAGCTATTGATTTTTATCTATTTTCTGTTTATCTGCTTTGTCCACTATTACTCTGCCAGTTGCCCCAGGCAATCAACAAAGCTACGCTTGTTCAGCCTTTGATCATCTCAGTGCTCTAAGATTAGCATATGCAGACTCTCAGCCTCTCCTTTATCCTGTTAATAAAGCTCCCAAGTCCCTCTGCTGATGTTCAAGAAAGCAATTCGCTCCCGAGCCCCCAAAGATTTGCCCCCATTCCCTCCTCGGCTCAGGACTCGCAATGCTAACTACGATGCACGGCTTGTGTAAGTGCTCATCCCACCGGCCCTCCGCGGAGCAATCCTTACTTGTTTGATGCAGTCCACGTTTGACAGACGTTCCTGGATCAGATTGGCCCAAAGCGCGTTGGGGATTTTCTAAAGAAAAAAAAAAAAAAAAAAAAAAAAAAAAAAAAGGCTGAATATTCACAATAGAGTTCAAAAGGAATTTTATCAGGCAGGCACATTCTGGTTAAAGGTGAACTAAGATGTCTCCTTAAAATAAATAATTTGAACAGTACAAGGCCCCAAGTCATTAGCACGCTGTATCAGAGAGTTAATACGGGCACAAAAATCGATGTTAAAGGTAAGCCAAACACATTTCTGCTTGCCAAAGCCCACATCTGACCTTACTGCACACTAACATGGAAACAGTGCCAAGATTTGCACACAAATTACCACACTGGACCTCAGACTTATAAAGGGAACCATTAGAACATTACATCCATCAGCAATCCCTTTGAACATCACATCCACCAGCCCTTTCACCAGGGTAAGTATCTGACCCACTGCTACTTCCTATGTCAGCATGTACAGCATTAGTGATATTAAAGAAGCCATTGATCATTTGTCTACAAGCTGCCCTGTCTCATTTGGTTTGATGTTTTTGCTAAAATGAGGACTCGGGAAGGTTTCTGCAGATGGATTTTCTGCATCACAAAGTTGTCTTTCAACTCATGCAAGAAACTTCAGGCGACGCCAATAGCTACGTGTATTGTGGGTTTGCATTCACCTCTCATTCTAACCACTCTGAACGATACAATTCTAAGAGGGTATTTCTTTGGATTTACATTATAATAAAAGATGCAATTAGACAGAGTGAAAATGTGGCTATTTGGAAAATTTCCTCCTCCTCCTCCTCATCAACTCATAAAAATTTCACTAGGAGTGGTAGAAGCTATCGTACCAGTCCCTTTGAAGTAGCCTGGAGAAAAGACTCGAGGATACGCAGCAGAGAAGAGGCTTTGCTGGCTGTGGGACGGACAGGACGCTCGAGTCAGGGAGCAGGTGGGGGATTGTTTTGTTTAGTTTCTCCCTTCTGTCCCTGGTTCTCAGTGCCTTTCTTCCTATCAGCCATTCGTAAGGTGACATTCAAGCACGTAACAGAGAAAAAGGGGGAAAAAAAGGCTGTTTCTGGAAAGTCTGCAGGTCTCATAGGGTGGTGCGTCAAAGCCTCCCGCAGCCTCCCGCTGCTGGAGCCTGGGCCTGAGGCTTTGAGGCTGTCACCTTCCAAAGGTGCCTCACGCTGCTCCCAGGAACAGCTCGTGTCTTGCCTACCTCTTTGATGTGTCACGTCAAGAGAAGCGAGCGACTGCCGGGGGTCCACTCTGCTAAGCTGTGCCAAACCAATTTAAACCCAAATTACACTAACTTCTTCCAGCGCAGTGATATTCTAAGTCCTCTCTTTTGAGGGAGGCTTATTGCACAAAAACAATCAGAGGACACAAGCAGGTATTTTGGTGTGTTAATTCCTTCTGCTCTCTGCAGCATAATTCCACTTCTCTTTCACGGTCAGTTTTCCTTCTATTGAACAGTGGCCTAAAAATCACTTTCAATAGACTGTATTATGCCTAATTAATCACCTAGCAATCATTACCTCTGACACATATCCATCATCATACAGCATATTCATATTTTCCTCTCCTAAATACACAAATATTTCACAAGGCCAATGGAGAGGACATCACCTCCCAGGAATCTGTAATAATGGACAATGAGCCATAGACATTGATAACAGGAGAGCTTATCTACAGCGCTCTGAGCTTGACCTTGTATTTGGTTTAGTTAATGAAAAGACCTCCGTTTGAAATAGTAAACTCTCTAAAAGCTGTGGCATTTTCTTATATTCAGACACATGTATATTTTTCTTTAGGCTATACACACGGTGCTAATCCTTATTCCTATGCTGACGAAAAACTCTACTCATTCATGACCGATTTTAAGTGTTCCACATTATTCTGGAGATACTATATTTTATCTTACACGCCCGCTCTCCTCAAAATGATGTTTTTAGTAACCCTTTCACAAAACTGCTACACTTTTGCTTAGATTGAGAGGGGAAGGACTTTCCCCTCCCCAGATGCTCCTACTGCAAGTTTCAGACATATTTGTTCTGAAAACAGCTACAGCCCAACCCTTCCAAGTTGGTTTGCTTGAAAGCTTGGCCCCTTCGAGAGAAAAGCGGTCACACGCTTCAAAAAACTTGGTTAGCAGTTTGAAAAATCATGAATGTTTAAATGGAGCTCATCTAGAAAAATACACACCAAAAGGCTACCCTGTTCATGTATGCGCAAGGCTGGAACAGTTCCTTCTTGTCCCTTCATGGTGACTTGTCCTGAACGATGCTGGATGTGCCTAGATGGGGATGTCGTGGATTTTCCTCTCTGCTGTTATATTTCTTCTTAAAAAGCACAGGAATATGATGCAAATGTGCAGTGGTTCTAAGTCATTAAGCAGGATGCAGACACGTTAACTGCAATTTAGTCTAGCTTTAAGGGCACACCCATCCTGCAAACCCCCGATTACCATGGTTCTTTCAACTTCATATTTTATCCAGCTAGCAGGAGAAGTGAAACATGCAATGGCTCATTATTATACTTCTCTATAGGAAAAAAACTTGGAGGTATTTTCTATTAGCATTATAATAAGTAGAGATGAGGGAATAATTTGCAATGATTTACCCACAAATGTAGCCTCTTTTTCTGTTCATGGAATATTTATTGGTAGCTCACGACTCCTCAAATTTATTAAATATTCAAAAATATATGACTTTTTCAAAGTATTTTTACATGTGGAATGATCACACTTTGCTTTGAACATTTGATATTTAAAATTCACCACTTGAGCTGTGCTCATTAGTGAGTGGCCAGGTGAGTGATAGTGAATGATATGTCCAAATTTAAAAACCAAGCTTAGGAGAATAATCAGGTATTTTAAATACCATTTTCATGAACTCCTGTGCTAGTAAAACTCAAACGCTTTAACGTTCACTGGAAGTGAACACAAAAGAGATGAAAGCACGAGAAGCAACTAAAATACGTGAGCAAATATTAGTGGACTTTTTTCCAGCGTTTGCCCAGATCTAGTAACAATAGCATGCTGACCTATAAAATGAACAAACTTTGGCACTGGGGTTAATTTAGAGTAACCTTAGACTCATGAAATGGGCCTCTAACTATATTAAATTGTGTTATATGACCTTCACGACCAGACTTGCACAAACACAGACTTAGTTCATGGTTTTTCTCTTTCCATTTATTAAATTGCTTTGGCTAGGCCTACAACTTTCTAATGCCACGGTTGTATCAAAGATCATAAAACCAGCTATTGTTCTCATCCTGAAGAGACACTCAAATCCTATTAGTGCTAATGGATGCTATGTATAGAGGAGTCACGTTTACCTCTCGCTCCAGCAGGATCAGGGGTCACTTAAAACAAAACAAAAGGTTTAGCCAACAACAGAAATCACCAAGGGGAAACATAGCTCATTAGTATGGTATTTGGGCTGCACTTTAAGTTACAGTAGAGCTTCTGCTTATTTAGAGGAAGCCAGGAGTTCCCCTCTAGTTTTAGGGAGTTTCATATGGAGACTCACATTCAAGTAAAAGAATAAAAGAAAGCAAGTTAGCGAAGACTCCTAGCCCCTCGGAAACAAAGGTGCACTGCACAGTACTTGAACACCACCAGATTTCTCCTCTTCAGGCACTCCTTGCTACCTGATTAGCCTTGACATTTTTGGCTTTCATCTTCCACACCAGCCGTCTTTTTAAATCAAATAAGCCCAAAAGGACACCCTTGAAAGTGTCTGCGTAGTCTGAAATATGTTAATAATTAGCGTAATTAAACCAAAGGGAATTTTTGTTTTAAATTCTCCTACTCTAGGTTGAAATTTATGAATCTAGTAAAACAATTTTTAATAATTAGAACAAAGATTTCAAAGTACATATTCTCAGTAAAGAATTTCATATTATGCCAGTCAAAAGCAAACCTTTGGTAGTACGTTCAGTGACTTCAATGAACTCTTTTCTCTCAGATCTTTAAAAAAATTATCTGAGGTTTCACCAATCTTCACTCTTTAATTCAGTATAATAAACACTATTTGCAGCTCTAGGTGACCCTCCATGTGCGGGGGAGTTGGACTAGATGATCTCTAAAGGTCCCTTCCAACCTTAAGGATTCCATGATTCTATGATATGCCTTCAACAAGTTAGCACACTAAATTATTTGTATCATGCTACAGAAAAATCAAACATTCACTAAGTGCTTCTATTGCATTAAAAACAAGTTTGTGTGCATATTTTCCAGAGTATTTTGACCTCTAAAATTAATGCTTATTATGAAATTATCAAACACCGTGAAATAGAACAGACTTTGTTTAATGTAATAATGACACATTCTTTAAATTATATCATACATATCTGGACTTCTCTTAAATCTGTTTACTCCAGGCTAAGATTAATGTTTCCAAGACCTTCAAGACCTACTGTCTTCCACTCTTGCTCTGAAAGACTCTGCACCTATCCATGTATTAACAGATGTACAAACCACCATAGATACAAGAATATTCTGATCTGCTAAACTTGTAACAGTGGAAATCATGGGAGTGCCACATAATTCCTCTTCTGTGGCATGCAGAACTACTATTATTACTCTCTTACATACCTGCTTTCTTTCTTTATATGCCTTTGCTTCTTTTGTCAGTGGTAATGTTTCCTTGAATAACAAAGTCTCCTGAGAGATACGTATGGCATCCAAATGTTTACAAAGCCACATTGCCTAAGGGAAGAAGAAGAAGAAAAAAAAAATACAAGTTGAAATATTTGGAAAGAAAATGAAACATTTTCAGAATGCTATAGAAAGTCAGGGAGCATTTTACTAGCCTCCAATTTAAATGAACAGACTGTGTGTGTAACTTCAAGCAGCTTCTTATAAAGGTATTCAAGACTCTATAGCTTTGAAAAAGGCCTTTTTATCTACCAGTCTGTAACATGGATTTTAAAGAAGAAAGCATTCTTCCTAGCATGTATCCACCACCATCAGCCACAAACTTCCTGCGGGTCAACTTTCAGTGGTTCAAATACAACTTGGACATTTTCAATTAAATGGTACCAGCAGACGTAGGAGAGAACTGCCCGGGCAAATGAACAGGCAAGAATTTGGGAATACCACCAGAATATATCCATGGGAGTGCTCCCAGGGTAATTAGTCCTGTTGAAACACTGTACAAGCAAGTCCAAGAGGAATCCTGTTGTAGAACACCTGTATCATGACCACTACCCCAGCAGGTTCTCGCAGAGCTCAGTATCCTTAGGAATGCTGCCTTCAACATGACTTGTGCTCTTGCAGCACTTTGATAATTCTGAAAAATCATTTTCAAAATCATCCTTTCAATTTCAAAATCATCTTCTTAGGATAAGATTTCCACAAGCACTGGGCTCAGCAGAAACCAAAACTTAAGTGGTTTGTATTGTAACACCGAAGGTAGTATACTCACAACTGTGGTTTTCCCAGAAGCAGGCGGTCCAAGTATACAAATTCGTGGAGCTATGGACAAGAAAACACGAATGTGAGGATGTAGAAAAGCAGAAATCCCAACTGCTTTGCAGCTATTACCCTGCCTAATACAAATGTAATTACAATGAAACAATTATTTTGGTTGGAAGTCTGCTGAATGGACACTTCAGGATTGGGCTCCACTGGGGAAAAGGGTGAACAATAAGGCAGCATCAGCTGCGCCTTTCTTTAATCTCCATAGTTAATAAGATTAACACTGACTAAACATATTACTTAGGCGTATATATCAATTTAAGCACATGGATAGTTTAGTTGCTGAACCAGAGCATAAGATAGGAACATGTCTTCATACGAGTGTGACTTTTATTCCCAAAACACTTACTTAAAATAGACATTTTCTGGAGGGGAAAAAAAAAACCCAACTTTTTTCTTTGACCAAGCTTTTAGCTGTCGTCACAAAGGGTACAATTTCACATTATGGTTTTCATCTAAATATGTTGAGCCGGAATTCAAAGAAGATTCAGATATTATGAAATTAGACACTTTTCTCTCTACCCTTTCAATGGCTGCCTTCAGTTTCTCTACCGAGCATTAAAATTCACTTTTTCCTCTACGTATCATTCCTTGGGTCCCTCTGCTTTCCTTAAGGGGAGCAAGCAACAGCAAGGTGGGCAAAAATAGCACGTTCTGCTGGTGCCCAGGTGCCTCTCTTACTTCTGTGGACTTCAGTAGCTTCTATATAAAAGAGATTGAAGAGAAAAAGAAATGGATAGGATTCCCATTTTGAGGGCTTCTTGTTCTATGCTTACAGACAATGCAATGAGTGTCACTTTTAAGCAGTACTGGGAAGGGAGTAGAGGTCCTAAGAAACCAAGGGAAAAGGGGTAACTTTGGGGATGGGACCTTTCATATGAACACACAATTTGGGCTGCAATCCCTTGAGCTGTCACGTTATATTAACATCTTTGATATTTTTCCCTTATACTCAAATCAGACCATATACAGAAGGGACTGATAGGTATTTACTGGGAGTAACACGGGTCAAAACAGATGAGGGATCTGCTCACCCCAAAACCTCTTTTCTTTAGCTCACGATGGCCAGGGGAGATGGTATCTGATGGCAGCAGACAGGGAAGGATGTGCAATGTATTTTTATGAGGCCTTCCATGTGCTTAAGCAGTTACTGGGCAGGTGCAATTTTTAAACATGCATGAAACGCCAATTATAGATTCATCTTTACAAAGTTATTTGATTTGGAAGGTTTAAGAAAAACTCCCCCCTTATTGGTTCTTGCAAGTGCAACAGAACTAGTACACAATGTAGGAAAATACTTTAAAAGGATACATCAGCTGTTTTTTATCACCTAATTTCTTTCAAATGTAATGTGATTAAATCCTAGTTTTTTTTTTTTTTTTAATCTAACACCTTGAAACTCCAGCCCGGTACTTAGGAATTATTTATAAACAGCGTCATAAAAGAGTGCTCGGGTGCCAACACTAATCAACTTCTTCAAACCACTTCAAAGAAAATCAAAAAACCTTTCCATCCACAGATCCTTTTGAGGTTTAACTAGGAGCATGATTTAAAATTCACAAGAAAACCCTTAGGTATTGAAGCTTTAATACACAGCTTTCTTGGACAAACGTTTGATAAAAAACGAAACATACCATTATATACACCATATCATGCTTTAATATTGCCCAGGGCTACTGTAAATGCTCACTTTGTACTAAATCTGGTTTTCTCTCTGCTTAGTGGCTGGCAGCAGATGGGGCAGTGTAATTCACTGATTTACTCATTTGCACTCTTGTAAGACTCTTCTAAAGCATTTTCCCTAAACATATGACATAAGGGCACAACCAGGACACCACTGTATGTAATGTTTAACCCCTTCAAATCAGCAAATAATCAGTATTAAATACTTGAGGTCTGAACGAATGGGTAATTGGAATTCAAGAAATCAGAAGAAAATGCCCCTTTTCTTCAATGCAAAATTATATTTCATTTCATGTTTAATCTTGAGATGTTACAGGATTTACTCTTCCAAGCACTTTTAAGATTTAATATTCAAAAATGATTTTAGTAATAACAAAATTCATCCTGGCATAACACAAAAGACCAGCTGGACTGAGAGCTCTATTTAAGTCCAAAAGAGTCTATGAGCAGTATCAATATAACAAAATTTACTTAAGTTATAAGGGAAATCCTTAGTCAAACAGGAAAAGCACATAGTGCACAACGGACATTCCTGCACAGCTTTACTATATTTCTTCAGAGTATGATCATAATAAAAGAATTCACAAAAGTGAGACTTGGATCCTGAGAGCTTTAGTAGCACAAACCAGGACAAAATACACAAAAGTGGCATTTTTGTACTAAAAAATTAACAGCTTTCATAAAGTTCTTTTAGCTTTTTTTTTCTTTTAAGAAGAATCACATGGAAGAACAACAGCACAGAGGTTTGGGTACAAACACTTCGCCACCTATTTGACCTAGGAGCTTTTCCAGACAGCTGTAAGCTACAATCACCATTACACTTGTTTATATTTTTAAGCATACTTTAGATCCTATGATTAATTTAAAAGGTTTTCTAACTTCACACCTGGGATAGATGCAATGCTTCTTTTCCACACATCTCTGTTTGAAATTTTCTCTGGGGCTAAAACTGTCTAGCTAGGCAAGATCATGAAAATTCATTGCTTTACTGATGGCTCTAATAAGGTTTTTTTTCTTCTAAATAGTCAACACCTTCTGTCATGATCAAAAAGTAAAATCAACTCTGCTACAGATTTCTGTTACATTATTTTCCATATAATTTATCTTTACAACAACATTTAGGCTTTAATTTTAATTGGAGTTCCTTCTCTCTCTTACTAGGGTAAGAGAGAGACAGCGTTTCCCATTGACAAGCAATTGCTGTGGTTCTGTCTTTAGCCTCTAAGTGCCCAAGTCATGAAACAGAAACCTAATTCTGCTCAAATAGCACTGCAAAGCTGAAGGACAAAGCTCAGCTTCACGTGAAGAAATTTTATCAGCACTCTATCAAACTGCAGAAAATTCTTCAGCTTATTTTCCATGGGTTTATGCAACAGACTGATTGCTCATGCTGCCCACATCAGAATAGGCTGGACACAATTTGCAGGATTTCATTTTTCTTTTCTTTTTTTTTTTTTTGATATTTAGCAGCATTTCAATGGACGTTCACCTGATCACGACCAAGCTCACAGCACCTCTAGTGATAGTGATTTCACCGACACTGCAGCAGAACTTTCATAATGGTTTACTGGGGTTTTAAGGAAACATCAAAGCAACATGACACCAGCTATTCCTGACAGCTCACGCAGAACAAAAATTACAGTTCAGTTGTGCATATCCAAATATAATCTGCCTAAGGGTGAACAGTTTGTAAATCAAATAATTTGATTGAGTCTACATGCTTTTATTGTGCAGAATACTGACTTCCTATTCAATTTACCAGGTTTTGTTACACACACAGTGAGGCAGGCTCACTGTTCCTTCATCTGAGATGCCACTGAGCTGGGGAACTCATTAAGAGCAGCTACTAACTAACTAATCAAAAAACAGAAAAGCTGCCAGCCCAGGTAGAATGGGAAACCAAATTTACACCTGACAAAAGGAGTAATTAGCGAGCTTAAAGACAACAGGAAATATCAGATGGGGCACAGAATGCATTAATAATTGATACACTAGAACTCTTTGTTATTCCCTTAGAGGGTTTCATTGTTGTAACTGTTAAAGTGCATTTTTTATTAGATTATCCACTAAAAAAGAAATTAAAAAGCATCTTACCTATAACTATTCCAAAATGCTCACTTTTTTTTTTTTTCCTCAAGACATGGTCTGAAAGTTTCATCTATCATTTGCCAATTGAGCTGCAGCTTTACAACAGCTGTTTGCAACTAATGAGTTGATCTACTTATGGTCTCTCAGTTTTCACTTACCATCATCGTTGTTTTCCTTTAAATAGTTTATCATATACTGAATGGGGTCCTCTGGCTTATGAATTAATAAATCTTCAAGCATGTTCTGAAAATACACAGGATTAAATCAGAAGAAAACCTAACACAGCTATATAATGACAATACATTCATTTTTACAGCATTATTAAAATGAGGATGTAAAAGAGTTTATACCAACTAATTTATTTTATTATGTCCCTTTACCTAAGTGAAATAGAGAACACAGAACCTATTTCAGAGGCTGAAAAATTGACACAAAACACAGTGAAAAACTTGCCAATATGAAAAAAATAATCTATTGTTTTAGTATATATTGGATATACACAATCACCACAAATGTTTGGCTTAAATGGTTTGGTACATTTAATAGTTGAGCCAGCATTAACACAAGGAATAAAGAAGCCTCAAGAACAGGGTCAAAATAAATTAATGTCTCTTCAGAGCAATTAAACCTCCTTCTCGGGCCTCAATGCTTCCCAAAGAGAGAAGATGTGTGAAAAACACAGGAACCACAAACCCAAACAGAGCAGCACGTCTCACATTCTTTTTTAATCTTATTAGTTTTCCTCCTACCTAAGAACTAAGGAAATAAATAAATATATACATATATATATATATATATATAAATGTTTAAACTCTTTCCCTCATTTTGTGGTTTTTTTAGCCCATTTGCACAGGGCCTTGCTTCAGCTCCCACCTGAATCACTGGGGATCTTTCCACTGATTTCAGCAATGAATGGACTGGTAGAGACAGAGAAAGGAATAACATTGGATAAAAAGAAATAATGAGGAATACCAAACTCCACACGTTTTCTTACAAAATATTTCAGCACAGACGAGAATTCTGTAATTAAAATTAAACATACATCACTGACTGATATTCTGACTTGGACTTTCACCTGTAAAACAAATGTTGGAATAGGGCTTCTTTCTTCTAAAAATCAGGTATGACACCTTTATATTTGGAAGGAAATTGTACAAGTCTGTATGTTCTATAAAATGTTATATAAACAGACTGCTTGCTTTTATTGGAGCAGTATTTTTCCTCTTCTGCTTTATCCTCTTGGACAAACGTCTACGTTTCGGACAGTAATTCCAAGCTGTGTGTGTTTGTACACCTACACTGCTGCAGAGGAGAACATAACACTCTCCTTAAATATATACATATATATGTATATATATATAAAATAATATATATACAAATATGTACATATTTTTTAACTTAATAAAAGACACACTAAATTGCACTGAATATACTAGGGAAGAAAAGGAAGAGAAAGATGAGGAGAAAAAGGGAAGAAAATGAAGTTTTCTTGCCTCCCAGAGAGATTTGAAGAAGCACAAAAAAAGCCCCTATAACCTCCTTAAATTAGAGATTTAGGAAGTGCAAATGCTCATACATATGGAGAGCAGCCAGCTTCCCTATCAGAACTGCACCGGAATATTTAGCCCCTTGACCAAACTTCTGTGCTCGGCCAAGGGGTATCTGTGAAGCCTTGAAGAACAAAACACGTGGTTTTTGTGGCAGGAAAATCATCGTCTTCACACGCTGAAATCACTTGGTGTTAAAGGCGTGTTGCTGTTTTATTGTGGATACAGAAAAATGGGAGCACCTGGAGGAAGATGCAGAGCAGGCAACAGTGACACGTGCTACCTCACGGGCCTTGGCCTCAGGAAGGGAGAGATTTTTCTTTTTTTTTCTTTTTTTTTTTTCCTTTTTTTTCCCATGATTTTTAAATTTTTGCTGCTACTTCCTGCTCCCTCTGCTCCGAGCAGCCTTTCCACGCATTCTCCGCTCCTGCCCTGCCCAGCCGGCGGCTCTCCCCGCTGGAAGCAGCACGTGCCGCGCGGCGGGACTCGCCGCTCGCCCGTTTTCACGCAGCTCGCTTTCCACCAAAAACACGCGCCCCGCGCGCCTTCCCGCAGGCCCCCGCCGCGCCACGGGCCGCGGCCGCCGCCGTCACCTGCAGGAGCGGGAAGAGCCCCCGCTGCTCCGCGTACGCGCTCAGCGGCGGCCACAGCGGCAGCGACCAGGACGGGGGCTCCATGGCCGCCCCTAGCAACGCAGCCCTCGGCCGCGCCGCGTTGCTAGGGACCTGCGTCATCAGGCAGCGACGAGGCGCCGCTGCCGTTGCCGGGGAGACGGCGGCGGCAGCCGGGCCCGCCGGGAGCGGCGCGCGGGGCTCCGGTGAGGGCCCCCCCCACGGAGGAGGGGGGGCTCCGGTGAGGGCCCCCCCCACGGAGGAGGGGAGGCCTCGGCGCCCCCGCGACCCCCCCGGGGAGCCGCCGAGGCCCCGGTGGCCGCGAGGCCTCCGCCGCCCCCGGCGGGAGCGCAGCCGAGGAGGGCGCGGGAGCCCCGCAGCCGTCCCGGGACGGGGCAGAGGCCTCCGGGCCGCGGCTTCACGGCGCTCGGAGGAGCCCCCGGGAGCGTCGCCCCACGCAGCACTCGACGCGTGGCGGTCACGGCAGCCCCACGCGGGTCGGTCCCCCCGGGCTCTCCCGCCTCCTGCGGCATCGTCACTGGGGCCCTGGCTCGGTGCCCCTGACTGGGGAGCTTTGACGCGATAAATATCCTCTTGCTTTATTGGATCCACCCCCAGCTTTCAACGAGACCTGTGTAATTCCAGGCAGAGTCACATAATGCAGAATTCTGCCCTTCTCTCCCCCTAAATCCAGGAAAGGGGAAAGATGAACGAGATAAAGGAGACCCTGCGGAACATAGAGCAGAACTACCGGCTCTTCCAGCAGCAGCAGTTCACGTTCATCACAGCGCTGCAACGCACCCGGGAGAACGCGCACGACATGATCCGACCCGTGGCCACCATCAGACAGGTACCCGGCAGCTCCAGCAGCACGGGAGCTGCTCCCGGGAGCAGGGAGGAACTCGCTGTTGGGCTGCGCTGGGATCCAGTGCCCTGCAAGGGCTTTCACTGGGGGAAGATGCACAAACCCCTCCAGTAACAGCGCGTGCAACTGCAAAACAGTGGCAAAAAGTTAAGCAGGGGAGAGAAACATCTACATTAAACTTACCCATTTACACAGAAGAAATTATAGCTCTTCATTTCCACATTATATAGCTATATTTTATGAATAATAGCCATTATAATTTTTATTAATAAAAATAAATTACAGCATCACTTCCTGATTTAGTTTAACGCTGCCACTTCACTGCCTCTGATACAGCTAGAAATACAGGGTCCAAGAAAGCCATCAAATCAGCCCTGCTTCCCCAGCCACGCATGGAATCTATAATCTTAACTTGTAACCAGCTTGTCTGCTTCTTCCCCTGGTATTGGGGCTGTTCACTCTTTCTATAGAGCTTATTAAAAATAATGGCTGTGTTACTGAGATAGGATGATGGATTGAGGGCTGAGAGTCCCAAGTGGACTAGGGCTTTTCTGGGCTGTAACTGAATTGTCTTTGAATTTTTATAACATATAATGCTTTAAGTAGCGTGAAGAACTTGGATTTTTCTTCTGCCTCTTTCAGTGTTCTAATATAATAAAGATATATTAATTGTGGATGTGAGAAAGTAGAACCCAGGCACAGCCTCCAATGCAAGCCAAGGCCAGAGGGAAAGCCAAGTTGTCCTTAGCCTCAGGACACAGAAGGGAGCTGGAGGGCGGTTCAAGACTGACTTGGACTCCTGCTTGGAGAAGCACATGAGTGAAAAAGACAATAGAGAGATAAATACCTGTGGCTCTCAAGTCTAAAGCTATTGCAACTGCCAGCTGCTCAAATGCAGGCACTCCTTTGGATTTTAAACAGAAAATATTCTACTAAATGCATATATATATATATATAAATACTATAAATATATAATACCTAGATGGGGGAAAAAAGGCTGCTTTTGTCCCCTTAAAGCTGTATGCAAGAGCCTTTTGGGTTTTGAATGATGAAACTTCTTAGAGAAGCAGGGGAAATAACAACACTGGGCAGTCTTTGCAAACAGTTGTTCACACAGTGTGCAAAGATACTTCAGCTGTGAGCCCAGGGCCCTGGTTCCTCACACTGATTATGCAGGTGCCTTAAGTCTCTGCTGGTTGATACAGACAAAAAGAAGTCCTGGAGCCCCATTAATGAACACCCAGGCTAAAAATGCTCTTCTCTTTAGGACTGTTTCTGCCCATAGCAGCAATAAAAAACATCCTGCCACTCACATGGACATACATTGAGAGAATAGTGAGGAAGGAGGAAGCTGCAGTGGAAGTGGACCCTCGAGAGCCATTTTTACTTTTCTTACAAACCTGCAGAGAGTTTACCCAAGTACAGGCTGTGGCTTTTTTTCTGTGTACAAATGGAATTGATTTTGGAACAGTGAGTTCATGCTCATCTTGAAATCTTAGAAAAAGTATTGAAGGTGCAAGAATCCAGATATGGTCAGACAGCCACTCTCTTTTGTATTCTGATGACTTGTATCTCAAGTACCTTTAGTTTCTTTGAAGAAGTTGCTTCATCTCTGGCATAATGTCCCGTCACACAATGCCATTCACTGTGTGACAGAAACATTTGAGGTATAACACTGCACTAGTGACTTAGAAGGGCAATTTGGGCTGCAAGCTTTTAGAATTGCAGCCACAGCTGGCGATGCCAAATGAAGAGCCACGTGCAGCCACAGCTGTGCTTTTACTGCAGAACTTGCACAGTTCAACCACCACCCTGACTTCCCTCTCTGCTTTGCCTAAGCAGAGGTGGCACCATGGGCACTGCTCAGGGTGCAGAGGACGTTGCTGCCTCACGCCCAGCCTCTTTCTGAAGAGCTTGCAGCAGAATTGCCTTGTTTTTGGCTGCAACTTCCTCAAGGAGGGGAGGAAAATCCATGTGGTGAAAATCCTTGCTCAGTTGTGAAGAGCTATGAGTGAACGTCTTGGGCATGCTAGAGAAACCCTGCTAGCTGTTTTGCAGTTTCCATTGTGGAAAACTTCCACAGGATCACAAGAGAAAGCAGCTTTTTGTCACTAACAGAAACTACACTTCAAGAACCACTGCTCTAGCCCCATCTTATCTCAATGCAATTGAACCTGCTCTTTCCCTGTATTGTGCTGTACAGGTACAATCCTACATGGACCATCACTGTAACAACTCCACTGACCGCCGTATCCTCAGCATGTTCCTGAGCATCTGCAACGATCTAAGCAAGCTCTGCCAGAACCTGGAAACCCTGCATCCCGGGAACAGCGTTACCAACGACATCTTGGAAAGGTGCAAGCTGCTCCTGAGCCACAGCAACGACCTCAGCGCCATCCGAGCTAAGTAGGTCTCTCCATCAGCTCAGTTTCTGAGAGATAATTGACAATACAGGGGGACTGCCACAAGAATACAGATATATATTATTCCCACTTGATTCCTCCATCAGTTTTCAATCACATCACCTTTCTAGTTTTAGTGAGAAGAGATAGTTCTACTCTATTGTTTCTACTCCTGTTTGAACAGGGGAAAAAATGAGGTTTTCCCTGTGAAATTCCCTGTAAAAGTGAGATTTCTATGAAACTTCACTTTTACAGCCTGTGAAATTCAACCCTGTAAAAATGAAATTCCAATTACAAAAGGGTTTTTCTGTTGGTTGGTTTGTATTCCTGGTGGATGGGAGGAGGTGACTTGACTACTCTCAAGTCACATGTAATGGCAAGGCTGTTTCCCTCCATTTCCCCCCATCCCTGCTCTGAATACAGTTAGTGTGTGGGACAAGGAATGGTACCTGCTCTTGAGCTCCTGCAGACTGAGTCCAGCAGCCAGGACATCACGTCTTTGGCAGGGCTCCTTCCACAAGATGATCTCTTCCATCAGAGCCTTTTGTTTTGATTGGGACAATGCGGGCAGGAAAACACTGAGTTTGCATCTCTGCCCTTCCCAGGGGTCTCAGCCTGGCTCTGGGTGGCTCCAGGGTTGACTGCTGGGTCCAGTAAAGGGTTCCTTCTTTCCCACAGATACCCCCATGATGTTGTCAATCACCTGAGCTGCAACGAAGCCAAGAACCATTACGGAGGTGTGGTGAGCCTCATCCCCATCGTTCTGGACTGCGTGAAGGAGTGGGTCGCCCACACCGAGAAGCTGCCGCGGCACATGCTGTATAACGTGAGTGGTGGAGGTGCTGGCTCTGCCAAAACAGCACCACAGGAGGCACCAGCCAGGGCAGCCAGGTCCCCCAAACCACCTTCTGCTCCCCCTGCAGCTCAGCCCTCAGTTAGTAACAAAGATTATGTGCAAGTCCAGGGAAGTAAACAAGCCAGAAAGAAGGGCCTGATTGACACACAAAGTTACAGTGGGAAACTTAAGAGTCCTTGGAAGCCACCTGGTAGACATGCTTTTTAAAGAACCAAGTGCATCTTTGTTATAATGAACTTCCCTATCTAAATTCAAATTGTGAAGAGATAACTTATCCTTTGGCAGATAAATACACCTTTCCCTTACTCTTATTTCCAATCTTCTCCTAAAAGAAATCTCAACAGAACTAGCTGCCTCTCACATACTCCCTTTGACAAGCCTTGTGTTCAGAGCAGGATTGAACAGTCAGGACCAATCAGATGCTAATTTCTCAGATAATGGACAAGTTCTCTGAAGTGGGATTTTAAGGCTTCCCTTCACTGTTCTGAGGAACACTCCCTTGCTCTCCCACGCTGAGGTGAGAGCACCCTGGATGTTAGACAGTGAGGTGGCAGAGCAGCAGAGGCCTCCTGTAATGATTCAGAAGCACATCTGAGAGTCACAGTAGGCATCCCCAAAGCTCCCTCACTGCAGCTGACCCCACTGAACATGCCTGCTCATCTGGACCAAAGAATGAAGGCCGACAGGACAGAGCACTAACACTGTCTCCCTTGCGTGCCCCTGGCTGCAGAAAGGTCCATGTATTTGACTACATTCCCAGGGTTCTGCTGGATGCTTCCTGCAGGGTCTCACACCAACAACATCCCAACATCCTCCCTTATACCTCTTTGGCTCCTTTGCTGTCAAGCAGCAGCGCTACAGGGATGTAAAGGACAAGTTTAGTTGGGTTTACTGACAGTATCTGAACTTGAATAAAACACCCCTCTCGCAGGACTCTGTGAGGCTACCAGCAGGAATTCACTTCCATCTGACGTGATTCAGGGTGTTCTGGGAGCAGATGGATCAAGAAAGCTGTGGCTATTTTCATTCAGTTCCCCTTTCAAAGCACATGTTAAAATGTCTCTCCTTTCCCTTTTTTCAACACAAATATCCACTTTCTAGCTTTCAAGGATGTTCTGAGGCTTAGTTCATTAACACCACGAGACTATTTGAAATAGTCTCATGCTGGTTTCAGAACGATAATTCAAAATTCTAGCCTGACTTTATAGCAGTGTCTCTGAAAACAGCTCTTTCCCAGCCGCACAGGGAGGGACAGCAGAGCCACAGGCACTCCCCATCCCCAGAAGCCGATAGGCATCTTCTGTGGTGCTTTTTATTGAAGCACTAGTAACTACAGATTTAACATCTCAATAGTGCAGTGTCTTCCCTGTATCTGATTGCTCTTTTCCCCTCCCACAGGCAAGTTAGCTCCTGTTCTTTGCCTGCTGCTGCAAGACACTCCTGAATAAACCATTTCCCCATGCAAACCTGACTCAGTTTGCTAAAACTGTGAGAATGCTTTTGCCTTAAGATGACCAGACCTTGGCAACAAACAGCCAAAGAGAAGGGAGAATTGATACAGAAGAGGGAGCGTAGGAAAGAGTGATAGCTCAGATGGAGCAGGAAGTATTTTCAGGATCCCTGTCAGTCCTGCCATAGCTGCTTTTGCACCTTGTTTCTGTCCCCCATCCACACGTGCTGATATCTCATACTCTGTGACACAGGACTACTTTTTAGGAGACACAATCCCATTGAACTGATAATTGGTGACCTCCATGATAAGGAACCTCGCTGGGGTCACTCTTAGGCACTAATGGGCCACAACCAGCACAAGCTGACCCTTATCTCAGACTTTGAGAGCCATCTTGCAAAGGCAGCTTTAGAAGGGAAAAAAATAAAAATACAAATGCCTGCAGCCGCTGTACTGTTGGTTCATGTTGCAAAGACAAATGTGCAGTGGCAGTTGCTGTTTGGCAACCTTTTTCAAGCAAGTGCACACTGTGTAGGCTAATACAAGTGTTGAAACATAGGAGGTTCCATCTCCATGTGAGGGAGAACTTTTCTGTGAGGGTGACAGAGCCCTGGCACAGGCTGCCCAGGAAGACTGTGGAGTCTCCTGCTCTGGAGATCTTCCAAACCCACCTGGATGTGACCAGGTGCCCCATGCTCTGAGTGTCCCTGCTCAGGCAGGAAGTTGAACTACATGATCTCTAGAGGTCCCTTCCAACCTCTACCACTCTGTGATTCAGACAGAGGGACACTATTCTCAGGTCTTGTTTCCTAACGCTAACCATCACATAGCTTAGGTCTGGATACACAGGCTCTCAGAACAAAATATTCTATTTGTAGTTTGCTTTCTGCTTCCACACTACAACACAGAATAAGTTGTCAGCCCGCTCAGACCTCGGCTGACCTTCCTCCCAGCCCTGCATAACTCAGGTGTTTATTAGACAGAGGTTGGCATGCAAGAAACATGCACTTGCCAAACTTTTATAGGGATTTGTAACCTAGCCCTATACTTTCAGTCTAATGCAGTCAAAATGTTAAGGCACAAGCAGAAAGATGAGTGCATAAAACTTTCAATTTGAAGGTTGGTAGTGACATGACTAGAATCTGTTGGAAGACTGCAGAGTTAAGTCTTGCAAAAATACCTAGACAAATTACTTAATTTCCATACAAGTTCTCCTCTTCCAGAGTGGATGGACACTTCAAAAGACAAAAAGATACAGCAGGAATTGTTTTTCTCTGCTACAAATCAAGGTGTTTGCAGAATTTACATAAACAGGATGTAAATGCCAGACATAGAACTGCAATAAAGTTTTATGCTTACAGAGGTTAAAGTAAAACTGCTGGATATACACTGAGAAACCAGGCAAAGCGCCAAACTGACTTACCCGAGATGTCAGGTGGCCAGGAAATAAACTCTTTTTGTTTCAAAGACTGGAATAGAAACACGGGAAGGTTGAGGATGATCTCAGCAGAATCCTGACGTCTGCAGGCAATAAATGGCTTCTGTGTTCCACTCATTTGGGTTAAGGGCAAACCAGGCTTTTGTCACCTTGAAACCAGGCTGAAGATTCTGCAAGTTAAACATTTTAGACACTATAATCAGGGGAATATCGTTCATAAAACAAGAGGTTAAGATGAAGTCTCAGGTGCTGCAGTGGATACGAGGATCCACTTAAGGATGAGAGGGGCGATCCAAGGGAGAGCAGCAACTTGGCATTTCCCGCTAGTAGTTAAGACTCTTGTTGCCCAAAGCAGCAGCCTTGCTGGGGCCTCTAGCGGCCACGTTTGAGATGGGCTGTGGAATGAATCTAAGCAGCAGCCAAAGGCCCCCAGCTGCTGCCTCAAACCCTCAACCTGAAAGGGAAATAAATAGAGAAATATAATTGCCAAGTAAAGCTCACATACGCCGATCACATGAACATTATCGGTCAAAATTTGGACTAAAAGTTTGTCCCAGAAGTAAAACCCGAGTTATCCAAACTTCATCAGCAAATCCCTTGCTTGTAGGAGTGTATGAACAAGGCCATTCAGCTCGTCAATTTTCTAAGCTATTTTGTAATCACCTTTTTAAAATCCAAGCCATTCTGGTAGTTATGTAAATGCAAGTAATCAAGATTAATCAAAGGTAATTAATTTTACTTATCAAATTTTAACGTATTTCTTATTCCTTATATCTGTCACTACACATCTACATGCTGTTTTTATAAACTTACCATTAGAGAATAATAAAAGTCCTTTTCTCTTTTTGTACCTTTGTGGTCTTACTTCTGCCAGAAATTTATATATAATTATTTTTATACTGTTGAGTACAGCTTTTCAATGCTAAGCTACTGACATATGCAAAAATCTATTAAAAACATACGAGCAAGTGAGATTCACCTTCTGTTTTGTTTTCCTTTCATTTGCACATTGTAAAACTCATCTCAGCTTTCCAGAGCCCAAAGGTTTTTTGGGCTTTACCTAGCCCAAAGAGCATGTACACACACACACACGCACACACAACGCTGAGCTTCCCAATTCTGACAGTAGCCCCAGCTTTGCAAGCAACTCTTTGACATTTCCACGTATTAACTTGTCTAATCACTATGTAGTCTCTAGACTAAATGAGCATTGAGAGCTAATATGCAGATCTGCACTACCAATTTGTTGGCAATTCATGGATTATACTGGCAGGTCGTCACTGCAGCTTTCCACAAACAGAAACACCAATGACTCCATACAGAAAAGCAAACGTGTGACAAGGGCCCCCACGCAAGAAGGGGCAGAGCCATTTACCTCTATTGCAGCCCTCTCAGAAGATGCTCCGACACTGGATTTGCTTTTGCCCGTTTTGCCACGTGCCAGAGAGAGCAGCTCGCAGGGAATTGAGCAGAGAGTAGTGCAAAACAATACATTTTATTTGTTCACAGTTAAACACAAGCAACTGCCTTGACATTTTAGAACATTCTAATAAGGACAGCAAAAAACCTCCTTTTGGTTTAAGTTCTCTTTAGCTTAGGATTGTACCATTTCCTCATATTTCATATTTATGGCATTTAATGTGGATTGTTTAACATGCTTACAAAGAGCGAGGCAGGGAACAGATTAACTTGACAAAGACAGCATTTTTAGATTTAACTAAAAGCAGTCAGTTAAAAAAATCTGTTTCCACTTCACTGATGGGACCCCTTCAGACAAACTGCAAGTTAACTACATACAGCAGATCCATGATTTTCAGAGTCACAAACAAACAAACAAAGGCAAAATTTGTTCCTCCATAATCTTTGTGGTCCATGAACAAACCTAAAGTGGTTTCCGTTACTATCCCGGTGCTAAAATCCTTTTTAAAAGAAGAGAAAGGCCACCTTATCCATGAGCTTGCATTTCACCGCCAGGGCTTTTTGGTAACCACCAACAACCAACCACCTCTCCTCAAGGAAAGTGAAGCCGCCGCGTAGGCGAGATGCTCTTTTGGGGCTCGGCAAAGCAGGGGGGTCTAAGGAGCTCCCGCGACGCAAGCGCATCCCAGAGCGCTCCAAGGGAAGGTGCTTCGCTCCTAGGGGCTGGCACGTGCTGGGACACGGGGCCGGAGACCCCCCAAATCTCACTGAAACACACGCTATCACATTTGCTACCACTACGTCTTAGAAAGCCTACAGACACGTCGACAAAACCGGTCCGTCACTTACAACCAACTCTCTATTTTCTATTCCATGCAGATTCGAGCTTTGACAAAACCACTGAAGTTCACACCTTTACCATCAGAGTTGGGACTAACCACTGAAAGGACACTGAGGATAATTTTGAGAGGCAGAAATGTATTTAGACCCTAGGTGCTATGGAAGAAGTGGAAATGGGAGAGGAGCACTGTCAGCCTCAAACAGATTCCCTTCCCCTTTGGGTTAGGAGGGGGATCAATCTGCAAGTGCAAGTGTACCTGGACTCGCTTTAGGTTTGAGAAGATTCTTCAACAGCAGCTGCCACCCAGAGAATGGTTAAGGAAAGAGGCCACATGAGGTGCAGGGTAATTCCGAGCCTGCTATGGCTAAGGAAGCTTGGACCCAGACAGATAGCTAAGGTCTAGAACAAACATGCTGCCTTCCTAAGGGGGCTTCGTTCCCTCCTCGCGACTCGGCTCCGACCACTGGCAAACCCTGAGCCCACAGGTCACGCCAGGCTCGTCTTTCTCTTAAGGATGTTTGACCCTGAAAGGCTCCGTGGCAGAATCCCAACTCTTTCAAGCCTCCTCTTCCATGCATATAGGCCAGCTTTTTAGGAAGGCTGGGGATGAGGCAAAGGGGTAATACCTGGAGTCAAACTGGTGTCAGAGCTGAAAAACGTGCTGCAATAGGAGCAGAACAGCAGTCCCAAGGAGACCAGATCCTTTAAGTCAAGCCTGGAAACGTATTCCCAGAAAGACTGAAGCCAGTGTTTCGGATTCAAGAACACTGTGATCTTGCTCACACTGAGGACACAGACCAGGACCAGGAGGGAGCTCAGGCAACACGAGCGTTTCCCTGGTTAGAGCAAGGTGCCCTCTGCAAATCTTCAGAGCTTGCTGCAGTACCTACCTGCTCTGCTCGCTCTCGCTATTTGAGCCAGACTTCCTCTTCTTCTCCCACCCAAACCGCTTCCGCACACAAACCAGTCTGAGGTCAGTACCAATGTGTCAGGCAAACAGATAAAAAATACTAAAAATACCAGAAGCTAGTGTTTTAACAAGTCTTCAGCATATATGGTCTCTGCATTACAAGCTCCAGTTCCTTATTGTCTGTCCAAACGCAACTTCCAAGAAATGTTAAGGACAGTATAAACAATGATTATGAATTAGGGTGTCAATCGTTTTGCAGAGGTACACTGTTCTTTAAATATTTAGTTATTCAGAGTCCAACTTAATGAAAACTGGACTCTGAGGGAAGTGGGACAGTGAACAGGCAAAATATAGACCTTCAGATGAATGCACTAGAAATCCTAGTTTTGCTCCCTTCCAGGATAAAAATAACCCAAGAAGTCACCTGGACAGGCAGCGCAGTTAACTGCTCTCAACTGGAAGCCTGCAAGGAAATACAAAGCATTCATAGTAGACTCACAAATGTTAATTTGGCCTCATATTGCACTCAAGTTCATAAATGCAGCTGCTCACTGGGGACAGGGAGAAAGGAAAAAAAAAATACCTGCAAATGCTAACAGATGTCCCTTCCAATTAGAACACGCTGCTAAAGACTGACTTTGAGAAAGAAGCAAGAGTTAGGCTGGGCATT